TCCGCTCCGTTAATATCTGCTAATATCTCTGACATACGATGCTGAAATATTTCAGGGGCTGACGTAATACGAAATGGAACCCGCTGAAAGCAGTACCGTCCAAACGGAGTTACGAAGGTAGTAAGGTGACAACTCTCTGGATCTAGAGGTATCTGGTGAAACCCACTACTAGCATTAAGTTTCGAAAAGACTGTAGCCTTGCACAGTTTTGGGGCAATGTCGTCCAAGTTGGGTAACATATAATGTTCACGTTTGACTGCCTGGTTTAGTTTCTTAAGGTCCACACACAAGCGAACATCCCCGTTTTTCTTGAATGCTGTCACGATGGGTGCACACCAATCCGTTGGTTCTGTGACCGCCGCAATGATTCCAGCGTTCTCCATGCGGTTTAGTTCGGCCTCGACCTTGGGCATCAATGGAAATGGAATCCTGCGAGCTGTTGTGACACAATATGGTGTGGCTCCAGGCTTAAGCGTTATCTTGACAGGTGGGCCCTTGACGCATCCATGTGTACCAAACACATCCCGAATTTCCTCGATTTTCATAACAAGTCCCATACGGTGTGCGACACTTCGACTGAGCAAATTAGAACCACTGTTAGAGTTCTTAAGCACATACGCTCGAAAATGAAACTCGTTGTTCTTGTGAAAAGTCTTAGCAACGAACATCCCTTTACACTCTACCGATCCTCCTGGGCTGTACAGCTGATTTGTTGAAGCCTGCAGTTTGGGCTTTACTGGCAATGAATTGTACGTCGCTTCAGTTATCACAGATGTGTCAGCACCAGTGTCGATCTTGAATGTAATGTACTTCCGACACACCTTCAGCTTTACTGTCCATGCGTCTGTATTGTCCGACTCGCTTAGGTCAATAGAACCCATGTAGAATGAATCAGGTGATGAACATGCACCTTGAACTTCCTCTATGTGTTTGGGTTTACTTCGACAAACTATCTTAAAGTGTCCTTTTTTCCCGCACTTTAAACATTTCTTCCCTGATGCTGGACAGTTTCCAGGATTGTGCTTCATATTACACTTGTCACAGTTATTGTAAACTCTTTCCTTAGCTTTAGGCTGTCTGCTGTAATTATGTTCCCCAAACGAAGTTGGGGAACATATTGTTTTTACTCTGTTTCTTCTTATTATTATTATAATGTTCCCCAAACAATGTTGGGGAACATATTGTTTTTACTTTTTCTGAATTTTTTCTTTGTTCTCCGGTACTTTTTTGTCCGCGAGTGTTCTCGTAAACTACTCATCCGATCTAGGTGAAACCTTTTTAGGGTCACTAGGTATGTTATGTAGATGTGCGGAACGAAGGTCATTTTGCGCGCACGTGCGTGCAGGTGCGCGCACGTGTAACACGTGAAATGACCAATATAATAGATTTAGCCGTAACTTTTTAAATATTGGATGAAATGCTTTGAAACTCAAAATATAAGGATATAATAGTAGTATAGACATGATGACATGGTCAAAATAGCAAGATCTCACGCGCATGCAGGTGTCCTTCGCTGCGATTGGCTGAAACTTAAAGTCTAAATATCTATTTTGTTTTCTGACAAAATCCTTTGAAATTTTGAACATAGTCTTACATTATGAAGATCTACAACATGATATATAAGAATAATCATGAACGCACGCACATGCACGTGTGCTGCAATCTGATTGGCTAAAACTTTAAATGCCTACAACTTTCTTGGTTCTCAATAATACAGGGTGAAATTTCAAATATGAATAGATATAATGACTGCCAACATTATACTACTATCAAAAGTAAATACATGGACGTGCATGCACATGCGACCGCACACAATGTATTAAAAGACAGGTTTGATGTTCATGCAGAATTAAGAACTTCTAAATGTCAAGACATGTAACATACTGAAGCATGCAGATCTTTTTACCCTTGACCTTGAAACTTAGGTCAAGGTCACTGGTAACCTGAATAAAATGTTGATATTAACTATTTACCAAAATCACCTTGACCTATGAACTTGAAATCGACCTTAACCTTTGTCCTTGACCCAAGGGTAAAAAGAAACATGAAGTACATGTACATGTATCTAGAAACACCTTTCAGAGTTTATTTCGGTTGACAGGTTAGAAGTTAAAGAGGTGGTGGTTTTTAATGACCTTGACCTTTCATCCAAATGTCACAATCAATCTTAAGTTCTTGGAATAGGATACAAGATTCAACTCCAACGTTAAATAGGTTAAGAATAAAAATACCCCCCCTCCCAACCCCCCCCCCACCCCCATCCCACACACACAAACAAATCAAATTAATGGCACCGTAGAGAATCACTGTTAAACTCAAATAACACCTCGGACCCACATAAAATTTCAGGAAAACTGCAGAAAAAGCTCGAGGAAAGTGTATTAAAATATTTCATTTGAGTTTCCAAAGTATATAGAAATTATTAATTTATACAGAAAAATTACAAATCCTGTCGTGTTTAGAATTAAAGTGCAGATGACCAAAGTTGGCATATAAGCATTTTATAGCCTATTTATTCAGATGTCATTAAGAGCATTCGATTCTACTGATTTGAAATAATATTTTAATACCAAGCGTCCTTTGTTTAATTTACCTTTGAAATTTATTTGAATTTTTTTTAGAATTACGCAATCCCCAGAAATAGCGATTTTCGGTATATTAAAAATCAATATACATGTACGCTCCTTCGTAAAATACTCAGATATTTGCATTCATGAAAAAAAATATTAATAAGAAGGTGTTAAACAATATAGGTCACATTAGCTGACACGAATGTCTTTTTAAACATCTCTTGTAAAACCCAGAGAGTAGCCCCCTATGCATTGGAAAAAATGAATAGTTCCGGTCAAAAAAACTTTATATATTTATTTACAAAGTATATAAAATTTACCAGGCACAGGTATCAGAGTTGTCAAAATGGCCTGAGAGGAAATATTAAAAAAAATTCTGAACAGAAAGGAAAATCCCTTTTCCATGTATGGAACTACTATTGAATATAACCAATCCCGAGCCCGATCTTAAAAACACGGTAGTAGAAAATTAGAATTTTGCTGTTTTATTAATTTTTTTGCTTTTAACTTCTTTTCTTGAAGCCAAATGATATGAAAACACTCAAGAAGGTGAAAAGACTTCATATTGTTATCTGAATTAAAATCAAAATTGTAATCTGAACAATTAGTCTCCTTATTATGTTCCCCAAACGAAGTTGGGGAACATATTGTTTTTACTTTTTCTGAATTTTTTCTTTGTTCTCCGGTACTTTTTTGTCCGCGAGTGTTCTCGTAAACTACTCATCCGATCTAGGTGAAACCTTTTTAGGGTCACTAGGTATGTTATGTAGATGTGCGGAACGAAGGTCATTTTGCGCGCACGTGCGTGCAGGTGCGCGCACGTGTAACACGTGAAATGACCAATATAATAGATTTAGCCGTAACTTTTTAAATATTGGATGAAATGCTTTGAAACTCATAATATAAGGATATAATAGTAGTATAAACATGATGACATGGTCAAAACAGCAAGATCTCACGCGCATGCAGGTGTCCTTCGCTGCGATTGGCTGAAACTTAAAGTCTAAATATCTATTTTGTTTTCTGACAAAATCCTTTGAAATTTTGAACATAGTCTTACATTATGAAGATCTACAGCATGATATATAAGAATAATCATGAACGCACGCACATGCACGTGTGCTGCAATCTGATTGGCTAAAACTTTAAATGCCTACAACTTTCTTGGTTCTCAATAATACAGGGTGAAATTTCAAATATGAATAGATATAATGACTGCCAACATTATACTACTATCAAAAGTAAATACATGGACGTGCATGCACATGCGACCGCACACAATGTATTAAAAGACAGGTTTGATGTTCATGCAGAATTAAGAACTTCTAAATGTCAAGACATGTAACATACTGAAGCATGCAGATCTTTTTACCCTTGACCTTGAAACTTAGGTCAAGGTCACTGGTAACCTGAATAAAATGTTGATATTAACTATTTACCAAAATCACCTTGACCTATGAACTTGAAATCGACCTTAACCTTTGTCCTTGACCCAAGGGTAAAAAGAAACATGAAGTACATGTACATGTATCTAGAAACACCTTTCAGAGTTTATTTCGGTTGACAGGTTAGAAGTTAAAGAGGTGGTGGTTTTTAATGACCTTGACCTTTCATCCAAATGTCACAATCAATCTTAAGTTCTTGGAATAGGATACAAGATTCAACTCCAACGTTAAATAGGTTAAGAATAAAAATACTCCCCCATCCCAACCCCCCCCCCACCCCCATCCCACACACACAAACAAATCAAATTAATGGCACCGTAGAGAATCACTGTTAAACTCAAATAACACCTCGGACCCACATAAAATTTCAGGAAAACTGCAGAAAAAGCTCGAGGAAAGTGTATTAAAATATTTCATTTGAGTTTCCAAAGTATATAGAAATTATTGATTTATACAGAAAAATTACAAATCCTGTCGTGTTTAGAATTAAAGTGCAGATGACCAAAGTTGGCATATAAGCATTTTATAGCCTATTTATTCAGATGTCATTAAGAGCATTCGATTCTACTGATTTGAAATAATATTTTAATACCAAGCGTCCTTTGTTTAATTTACCTTTGAAATTTATTTGAATTTTTTTTAGAATTACGCAATCCCCAGAAATAGCGATTTTCGGTATATTAAAAATCAATATACATGTACGCTCCTTCGTAAAATAATCAGATATTTGCATTCATGAAAAAAAATATTAATAAGAAGGTGTTAAACAATATAGGTCACATTAGCTGACACGAATGTCTTTTTAAACATCTCTTGTAAAACCCAGAGAGTAGCCCCCTATGCATTGGAAAAAATGAATAGTTCCGGTCAAAAAAACTTTATATATTTATTTACAAAGTATATAAAATTTACCAGGCACAGGTATCAGAGTTGTCAAAATGGCCTGAGAGGAAATATTAAAAAAAATTCTGAACAGAAAGGAAAATCCCTTTTCCATGTATGGAACTACTATTGAATATAACCAATCCCGAGCCCGATCTTAAAAACACGGTAGTAGAAAATTAGAATTTTGCTGTTTTATTAATTTTTTTGCTTTTAACTTCTTTTCTTGAAGCCAAATGATATGAAAACACTCAAGAAGGTGAAAAGACTTCATATTGTTATCTGAATTAAAATCAAAATTGTAATCTGAACAATTAGTCTCCTTATTATGTTCCCCAAACGAAGTTGGGGAACATATTGTTATGTTCCCCAAACGAAGTTTGGGAACATATTGTTTTTACTCTGTTTCTTATTATTATTATTATTATTATTATTATTTTTCTTCTTCCTGGGAAAATTTTGTCCACGAGTGATCTTGTAAACTACACATCCGACTTAGGTGAAACCTTTTTAGGGTTAGTAGGCATGTTATGTAGAGTTGCCAAACAAAGGTCATTTTGCGCGCACGTGCTTGCAAGAGCGCGCACGTGCATTAGGTGAAATTACCAATATAATGGATATTGCCGTAACTTTTCTATTTTTTGATGAAATTTTTTGAAACTCATAATGTAAGGATACATTAGTAGTATAGATAAGATAGCATGGTCAAAATAGCAAGATTTCACGCGCATGCACGTGCGCTTTGCTCTGATTGGCTGAAACTAAAGTATCAATAACTTTCTTGTTTCTTGTCATAATCCTTTGAAATTTTGAACATAGTCCTACATTATAATGATCTACCGCATGATATATAAGAATTTTCATGAAAGCATGTGCATGCGCGTGTGCTGCAAGCTGATTGGCTGAAACTTTAAATGGCTATATCTCCTTTGTTTTTTGACGAAATTCTTTGAAATTTAAAATATAGTCATGCATTGGGATATCCTACAAAATGATATAGAAAAAATATCATGAAATCACGCGCATGCACGTGTGCTGCAATTTGATTGGCTGAAACTTAAAATTGCTATTTCTCCTTTGTTTTTTTACGAAATTCTTTGAAATTTAAAATATAGTCATGCATTAGGATATCCTACAAAATGATATTAAAAAAATCATGAAATTACGTGCATGCACGTGTGCTGCAATCTGATTGGCTGAAACTTTAAATGGCTATAACTCCCTTGTTTTTCAACCAAACATGATGGGATTTAGAACATAGATAGATGTAAGGAACTCCTACAAGAAGGTATGATCATCATGCACGTGCGCGCACGTGCATGCATTTGAAACGAGTATATCTAAAACTACTCTTGAAAGACAAGATGATATGGTCATAACGCACATGCATTCACATGCGCTTGGGTGCAATGCTAAAAATTGAATATAATTGGTATCCTTCTGGAAAAACGTGGTTAAAGTCAAAAATGCACAGAGTTTGTCTTATTTAATGAAGCTTACAGGGAATATGGCACCGAAAGGGAGTTGGGGAGCGTTTGGGGAACATCTGTAACGGTTCCCGTTACAATTAGCACTAGTTATTAGTAGTATTATTTTTCTTCTTCTTCCTGGGTACTTTTTTGTCCGGGAATGATCTTGTAAACTGTTCGTCCGATGTAGGTAAAACCTTTTTAGGGTCAGTAGACATGTTATGTAGATTTGCGGAATCAAGGTCATTTTGCGCGCACGTGCTTGCAAGAGCGCGCACGTGCAACACGTGAAATGACCAATATAATGGATATTGCCGTAACTTTTCTATTTTTTGATGAAATTTTTTGAAACTCATAATGTAAGGATACATTAGTAGTATAGACAAGCTGGCATGGTCAAAATAGCAAGAACTCACGTGCATGCACGTGCGCTTCGCTCTGATTGGCTGAAACTAAAGTCTCAATATCTTTCTTGTTTCTTGTCATAATCCTTTGAAATTTTGAACATAGTCCTACATTATGAAGATCTACAGCATGATATATAAGAATGTTCATGAAAGCATGCGCATGCGCGTGTGCTGCAATCTGATTGGCTGAAACTTTAAATGGCTATATCTCCTTTGTATTTTGACGAAATGCTTTGAAATTTAAAATATAGTCATGCATTAGGATATCCTACAATATGATATAGAAAAAAAATCATGAAATTACGCGCATGCACGTGTGCTGCAATCTGATTGGCTGAAACTTGAAATGGCTAAAACTCCCTTGTTTTTCAACCAAACAGGATGGGATTTAGAATATAGATAGATATAGAGGACTCCTACAGGAAGGTATGGTGATCATGCTCGTGCACGCACGTGCGTGCATTTCGAACGAGTGAAATTTAAAAAACCTTGAATGAGTGATTTTTAATACTTTTGAACTGAATGCTTTAATATATAGTATATTAAAATGTATAGATAGTGTAGACAAGATGATATGGTTATATCGCACATGTATTCGCATGCGCACAGGTGCAAAGCTAAAATTTAAATATAATTGGTATCCTTCTGGGAAAACGTTGTTAAAGTCATAAATGCACAGAGGTTGTCTTATTTAATGAAGCTTACAGGGAATATGGCACCAAAAGGGAGTTGGGGAGCGTTTGGGGAACATCTGTAACGGTTCCCGTTACAATTAGCACTAGTTGTGTTTAGGTTGCTGTCCATTTTGCTGCCTAAATCTCACTGCATCTAAGTTCTTAGATTGTAAGTCTTTAATCTGATGTTTCACTAACTCTGAATTACGTGCCATCTCGACAGCTTTTGTGAGTGTAAGTTCAGATTCAAGCTGTAGCACAGTTTCTCGCTAAGTTCTTTGTCGATAATGCCCACGACTAACCTGTCTCGGATTTGGTCGCTCTTATCTCTAAAATCACAGTGCGCGGCCAACTCGTGTAAACTTCTGACGAATTCCTCAACTGACTCTCCCTGGCGCTGGCTCCGGATGTGGAATTTGGCGCGCTCATGAATCACGTTTTTCTTTGGAACGAAATACTTGTCAAAACTTTCAAGTACCTTCTTGAATTTCTTCTCGTCACCATTAGCGAGTGCGAAAGACTTGAATATTCCTTCTGCCTCTGGTCCCATGGCGTATATCAATGAACTTATCTGTATTTGTTCATCCTCGTCAGTCAGCTTCGTTGCGATCTGAAACCTCGTGAATCGTTGTTTCCATTCCGGCCATTCATTTGGCCTGGTAACTTTAGGCGAAACACTCAGGTGGATTGAACTTCGGCATTTTTCTACACTAGGAACACTTCTGACACCATGTTTGGATGGCTAGGTTCGCTAATTGCCAATTACAACACCGAGTTCACACAAACACGTTTATTCAATATGGCGCTAAAACTAAAACTAAACAGGTACATATTCAGTCGTACATGAAAAGGTTACACATACACTAGATAGTTCGTACGATAACACATTTACTAAACAGTTAGGATCTGGGAAAACATCGGTCACATTGCATGTTTTACTTCAACTTCGAGATGGTTAACTTGTAGGGTGAGTTCACCATGCATCGGACACATACCTTGCTTCGGACAACTTTAGGCAATAAAATCTCTTTCAACTTAAGAGTTCTGTGTATTTATTTGTTTCTGTCTTAAAGATGAAGATTTAAATATTTTAATGATACCGATTATTTTTATCATGTTGTGATAAAAATACCCCGAGAATGGCCTTGAAGTTACGTCATATTTTACATCATCAAAGGGGAATAACCCGAAATTTTTGATTTTACAATTTTTAGAGTTATTTTTTTTTTTTAAATTCGACGTCAACGGAACGAGTCGGACTTTGGTGAATTTTGTCAGGAATTGGTAATTTTGCATAAATTATAAAGAAATTTCACTTCAATGTTTGTTATTAGAGCTGGTTTTACTAGCATGCTAATTTCACCGTACATCGGACACAAATTAACCATGCATCGGACACTTTCCGATGCAAAGGTAATCACTACTGTTTTTATACAGAACCTAACTAACAGCTTTTTTTTGCGAAAAAAGAAAATAAAAACTCTAAATTTTCTGTCAAAATACAAGTTATCGATATGTGACGTCTAGAAGCTGACTTAATCTATTTCTCCAAACCAGACTATCTTAACCCATGAGAAAAAGGCGCCAATTACAGCATTACAAGCAATTTAAAGCCTTTCTATTGCAAAGTGAGGCATCTTGAATAGTTTTACATTAGTGCAACGATATCGTCAATTAAATTTAAGGTGAGGGTTATTTATGAGATAAAATATAAAAGTTTATCCATATCAAGGATTTCAAAGCATTGTAATAATTAAAGTATGAAAATTTTTCGGTTGAAATACCGTCTGTCCGATGCATGGTGAATAATGTCCGATCCATGGTGAATTTTGAGTTATTCAGAAAAAATCGATTTTTGGTGATATTTTCTCAATAAAACTTTTATTAAAAGGCATATAATTGTATCCCAAATTTATATTTTAATCACATACTAAGTGTTAAACTCCATCTTGATAATTTACCGTCGGTAGCGATATCGCTAGAACTTGCTGAAGTACAAGGGTGTCCGATGCACAGATGCATGGTGAATTCACCCTACACGATTTCTACTTTCACTTTCGAATTTTCTCCATGTCATACGTAGGGCGGCACTGAGTACAGTATTGGCTTAAGTGTTCAAACAAATTTAACCAACAATTACGAGACCTACAAAAAGTAATGCTGATATACAAATATCCATCATAGCAGAGGTCTGGCACATCGGCACAGTCTACGACCACAGGTACTTGGGTCGTGGTTTATAAATATTTATAATGTACCTTATTGATATGTAAAAAAAGTAAAGGTATGCAGGCTCCGTAATGGCGTCTGCTCAACTCGCTTGTTTACATGGTCTGTTTTCTTTAAAAAACGCTGCACCTACCGATATTTCTGCACCGGACGCCTCAGACCATTGATTACTAATTGTAAATATCCTCACATCTTGCAAATAATTCCTAAAAGGTGATTTTTAAACAATTTTTCAAAATTTTCGTTAACGTGCCCGGAACTAAGTGCAAATACTAAAACCCGAATCAAAATGAAGAATTCCGGCCATTAAGACACTCCAAAATTCTAGAGGCATCCCGAGAAATTTAAATATAACTTGAAATTTCCATAACTATTTATAATTTTCTCGGAATGCCTCTAGAATTTTGGAGTGTCTTAATGGCCGGAATTCTTCATTTTGATTCGGGTTTTAGTATTTGCACTTAGTTCCGGGCACGTTAACGAAAATTTTGAAAAATTGTTTAAAAATCACCTTTTAGGAATTATTTGCAAGATGTGAGGATATTTACAATTAGTAATCAATGGTCTGAGGCGTCCGGTGCAGAAATATCGGTAGGTGCAGCGTTTTTTAAAGAAAACAGACCATGTAAACAAGCGAGTTGAGCAGACGCCATTACGGAGCCTGCATACCTTTACTTTTTTTACATATCAATAAGGTACATTATAAATATTTATAAACCACGACCCAAGTACCTGTGTCTACGACACAGTAGCCTGCAAGCTAGAACTGTTGAGTACTGTATGCGTAATGTTGCTGTACAGAAAGTTCAAACATTTAGGGGCCTCAAAAATTATGAAACTCTTAAAGACGTAATGTTACAAAGACAACAAAAAACACTTACTTTTAACAGAGACTTGATAATTCGTTGTTCCTCTGTGTTTCTCAACTTCTGTTACAGCTGATGACGTCAAACATGACGTTTTCTCCGATAAAAAACAAAACCGATCCTGAGAAAAGCTACGGACCATTTTTAGCCGGAAAAAATCTAAATCCCAATTTGACATTTTGAAAGATAGACATTGAGCTTATAAATTCAGTCTAGATAAATAAATTACTTTTTCAGAATGTATGGAGAAAAAATTGGACGAGGTGAAGAGGGTGCAAACAGTTGGAACACCCCCCTCCCACACCCACACGTGTACACACCCTTACATACACACACAAAGGCACTTGTGTCGGAAATAAATTGTGTCGGAAATACTTTTTTAACCTAAGGTATCATACTAACACAACTGTTACATGTGTATCTTTATGTATTGGGGTTAAAAAATTATTTCCGACACAAGTGCCTACTCCCCCCCCTACCCCGGCGGTTTTGAGTATCCACATATGGACATCTTTTAATTAATTAAATGTCACTAAAATGATTGGCAACTATTGTTTAAAGTTAGGTCTAAAATTTGAATAGTAACATTAATCTCATGTTATTCTTATTAACATGAAATTAACATTAAAGAATTAATGTTAAATTCACATTAACAAGAAATTAACATTAACTAATTAACGTTAATCTAATGTTAATATTTTGGTTCTAGTTTTTTAAGACAGAACCCAAGCTCACTTAAAATTTTAATGTTAATTCAATGTTAAAAATTAACATGAAATTAATGTTAAGTTAAATTAACGTTAAAAATTAACATGAAATTAATGTTAAGTTAAATTAACGTTAAAAATTAACGTTAATTTAATGTTAATCATTTTAACGTTAACTTAACACGAAAGTAACATTAAACTAACATCAATGTTACGTTAATTCAATGTTAATTGAGATTAACACTAAATTAACGTTAGGCACAATGGCTGTGTATTCCTTTTCCTTTCTGTAAAATATTCTTGGTATTAATCTTATGATGGCTTCGAAGTTTGTTTTCAATCTGAGCTAATGCCTCTGGAAAAAGATATGAATTACATTGAACGGTTTCATTATTATATATGCTTTTATTTTTAATATATCAATGAAATATTTTGCATTAAAAAGCTAATTTAAGTTAATCACTTTATTTCTTCTTAAAGAAATAGTCAATGTTATCCATGATTATATATGCGTTGGCAAAATGCCACAGTGAAATGCACATAAATTGTATTACAAGTACGGAAATCATGCATTCTGACACTTCAATATTAACACCTTTTATCTTACATAAAACACATTATAAATCATGCATTTTAAAATTGTTGCTACCAAATAATTACGATGATTATTATTAATTTAAAAAATCCTCACTCCTCCATGACACCTGATTCCACCTCTGATGTTTTGGGAGGTCAGTGTTTGCCCTGCTCCTATTTTGTATTGTTTTATGGATTTTCGATCTTGAAATCTTTTCGTTATCTCCATTTGTTTCATTGTTTGATGATAATATCTTTAAAATTTGATGATATTTCAATCTAATTTTAAAAAAGTCCACGCCGAAAGTTTTCCTCAAGATATCTCGAATGAACGTATCATGTTTCTCACTTCATTCACACAATCATATCGTTATATCTTTTTAAAATAATTTTCAATTCATAATATATATAATTTAATACAAATTAAGATAGAAAATAACCAAGGGTGTGATGGCAGTGTCAGTAATAACCTTTTTAAATCATTAGATCGTTGCCCACGTTTGTGTATATTACATAAAAAATATCAAATATTACAATTAGATACCTTAACTAGCTGAAAATGAAAATGTCCATAATACTCACAAAAAGTGTATTTTTTGCTTTTGCAATCTTATGTCAGTTTAAAATCTGTTTTGGATGTTTTATTCTAATAATGATAACAATGAAATAAATTTGAAGATAACTATCGATTGATTAATAGTACGTTGTATGTTCATCAATTCATCATTAACTTTAAAAAAGAAATATTAAATACAAGCGTATTATCAGTGTAATTAATAACGTTTTCTATTAAAGGTACAAATACAGTTCATTCTTTTTATTTTCATGCCTTTTAAACTGGAATTCTCCTCCTTTGGAAGTAAAAACTACAGCTGGTAGAGCTTGTTTAAAATATCCTTGTAAGTTGCATCTTACACAAGATTGTGTTATTCAAAATGTCCTGGTTAAAAAAAAGACGAAAAAATTAATTTCTATTTCTTACTCATCTGGACCTTTATACCAGTCGCGGTCACATATACAAAATACATTTTATACACAATGTAATCAAATGTCAATAAAATTCGCACAAATTTAATGTCATACAAAAATGGGGTTCTGTTATCATAGACTTTCAGGAAAGTCCGCACTTCCCTTCTTTCTTTTGATTCTTTTATAAATCGTCAGAAGGTGAA